ATAAAGTCTACTTACATATTAGACGTCGGGTCGAAGGTTAAAGCAGTGGTGTCACCCGGAACGTTTTTATGAGAGCACAGAATATTCAACCAATCAAATTCCAGCCTGGCGATATATTTGAGAAATTGTGCCCCGAGTGAGGACTTGTAGACACCTTTAACCCTTAACCTCTTCCTTGTATGCTCCCCGTATCCACCCCCTCCACCAGCCCTTCATTTAGTGCGTTCAGCTAAGATGTAGGAAAACAAACTGTTGTCGGTTTCCACTCGATTGTTCCAATGTTGAAGGAGCCGTAGTGGGATCTACGTAGACATCCTGCGAGACTTCAGACGGGACATAGTTGTCGGTCCGTGCGCACAGGGCAAGGAGGAAATACCGAAGTATTTTTTCAGGCTAACGTTCAGTGGTTAGTTGTCCTGCGAGTTTCATCTTAGTTTTATATTCTGAAAGAAATCCCCTCATAAACGCCGAGCTGTCGCCATTTTGCCTGCACCGAGCGGCAGGAGCCCAGGAACCCGTCGTTGCGTTAGCTTCCCGGCGCTGTAGCTACTTCGTAACATAAAGTTAAAGTTAGCTAGCATCAAGTTAGCGGCGCTACGTGGTGGTTGCTGGCCGCGTATCTGATGCTAAGCTACACGGTTAGCTGAGGCCAAGACATCGGACATCGTCCAGCTTCTTTGAGGGACCTCGAGATGCGCGCTGATTAGAGTTAAACGGGAATTTCCTTGCTGGTCCAAGCTAGCACTGTCAGCTAACGTTAGCTACCTGCCTGGATACACGGTAAGAGAACCGGAAGAGCTGTCAGTTTCATTTGCTTACGACAGTGATAGCTACATGTACTCTTTACGTCAACACTGATAGTTCACGGTTTGATTCATGGTGAGTATTTATAAATCAGCTCTGTTAACATGAGTTGAATTAACTTGACGCATCGTAACTCGTGAATCAATCCGTCATGAATTCCTTCCTGTCGCTACAAACTAAGCGTGTTTACCTTTTGTGAGCAGCAAATATAACTGAACCAGAGCAATCTAACGTGACTCTATTGTCCTCAGGCTTTGGCACAGTCATGGCAGATGAAAATACACATTTCTGTGGCAATTGGTAAGTAGCTATAAGTTGCATGAAGGGATGGATCTGTTTGTTAATGTGGGGAAAACGGGAAAAAAATCGCTTTTATGGTATGTTTTTTTTTTTAGCAAACACGACATTCCAGAGGGTAATTTTACCACCCATGAGATCCACTGTCAGAGAAACATCGCCCTGTGTGGGGTGTGTCAGGAGCCAGTACCCCGGTCAGATCTGCAGGATCACATGCAGCAGGAACATACACAGGTAACATCTGAACAGAAATACTGCAGACTTCTGCATGATGTGCTACTTTATAGGGTCTGCTGAATGCCTCAAGTTGGAAATATGTGATAATCCAATGAATCTATTGCCAAACCATGAAATCACTAAACCTTTGACTTGTGTGAGTTTTATATCTCACTAATTCAATTTCCAGTTTGGATTGCAGCCCCTATTGGTGTCAAAGTTACAACAGGGTTAATGTCTTACAGGAAGAAGTCTTATAACGATAATTTGGCCATATTACAGATTGAACAAACCATCTTTTTTTGCACAAACACACATATATTTTTAGTAATTACCAATGCTTTAAGCAGTCTCCTCTTACATATAGTAACTGTATGCTCCCTAATGTAGCCTGAGCAAAACTGAAGAAAACTTCAGAGCAGCCACATACTTTATGTGACCTCAATAATAATAATACATTTTTTTTATAGGCACGTTTCAGAGCACTCAAGGTCACCTTACACAGCAGATAAAAACACAACAACAATGTATCAAAACATCAATAAAATAATAATTACAATGAAATGAACAGTAAATAAAAATGAAAGACAATTATACTGAAAAAGCCCCCGTTTAAAAAGATGAGGTTTTACATGTGATTTTAAAAATGGAGAGAGAGTCAATGTTGTGAAGGTCTGGTGGGAGGGAGTTCCAGAGGCGGGGGGAAGAGTGGCTGAAGGGTCTAGATCCCATGGTGGTCAAACGGGCAGGTGGTATAGTGAGGTAAATGAAAGAAGAAGATCTGAGGGTGTGGGAAGGTTTGTCAATGTGCAGGAGTTCAGAAAGGTGGAGCGAGATTGTGGCCTTAAAGGTGAGGAACAGAATCTTAAAAACAATGCAGTATTTGACCAGGAGCCAATGAAGCTGCTGAAGGACTGGAGTGATGTGATTAATGGAGGGGGCTCTGGGAGGGATGCGAGCGGCAGAGTTTTGGACTAATTGAAGTTTATGAAGTTTATTAGGGAGACCAAAAAGAAGGGGATTACAGTAATCAATGCGGGATGTAACCAGGGTGTGGACGAGGATGGCGGCGGTGTGAGGGATGGGCAGAGACGATTAATGCTGTGTAGGTGAAAGTATGTGGACTGGGTAACATTATTGATGTGGGCTTCGAAAGATAGAGTGCTGTCAAGGATGACACCCTGACTCTTAACCTGAGGGGAGGGAGAAACTAAAGATTTGTCAATATTGAATGATAGATTGTCAGATTTTGATATGGTGGATTTGGTGCCAATATGGTGTTCAAATGATCACCCTGAGGAAATTACTAAAATGAAACAATGTCAGACCTAAACAGAAGAATTGCAAACTAAGATCATTTTCTCTTTCATTTGCAGATTACATGCAAGTGTGGTTTGAAGATTGAGAAGAATCATTTTGACGTTCACCAGGTATTGAAGACATTTTGATTTCCCATGTATATGTTATTTAATTATCGTGGTTAAAACATTTAAATATGCTTCTTCGTGTTTTGTGCCCCTTCAGAGCTCTGAGTGTTCTCAGCGTCTTGTCCCGTGCCAGTACTGTGAACTGGAGCTGGTTTTCAGTCAATCCAAAGAGCACGAAGATTATTGCGGTACCCGCACTGAGCCCTGCCCAAACTGCAAGTGCAATGTAATGTTGAGGGAGCAAGCTGTGCATCCAGTCTTATGTGGGAGCCTCACACCTCCCCAAGAGAGAAACAACAGCAGGATGAGTCGCAGTCCACTTGAGCCACCGTCTCCAGGGACATGGTTTGAAGCCCACTCCATCCGAAACATCATAAAAGACCAAGAAAGAGGCTCCAAGAATAACAACGTCAGCGCGGCAGAACAACACGCCTTTCCCCGTTTGTTTGATCCCAGTGCGTATAACATTACGAGGGGACCTCAAAGCACAGAGGACTGGGAGAATGCTTCACAGAGAAACACATTCAGTCACTGTGAGTTATATCACTGACCCATTCATTATTTAATTTTCTGTGAGGAAAAAAC